TCTCTCTCTCTCTCTGTCTCTCTCTCTCAAACCCTAGACACTGAAGACCGCTGAATTATCTGATTTTAGCCAAATTTAGGTTCGATTTTCACTCCGATTTTTTAAATTTTTTTCGTTTTGAAATTATCGCCTTACTTGTCTTGTGTTCTAAGTTTTTCGATTTTAGCCAACAATAGCATATCTCTTGTGATCTGTAAATTTATACTGTCAGTAGAAAATATAAAGGACTTGTAGAACTTCTATTTTTGTTCCTTATAGTATAGGCCTGAGATATAGTTTAAATGGAATAACATGGTCAGTGAAGATTCATATAGCCGATCCCTACTTGATTGGGACTGAGGCATAGTTGTTGTTGTTGTTTTTGTTATGTTTACTGAAACTTTTTTCGATTAAGTATGAGTAGAAAGCGGACTACTTGTTGCAGTAGTTGTTAGGTATCTTTTGAGCTTTGTAAATATAGCCTGTTTAAGGGTCGCTGTAGGTTTTCAGTCTAAAAATAGTCAACTGTGTTGAAACCTCTGAATAGGGACGAATAGAGTGGAACAGATACACTGGATTTATATAGCCAACACACTAGTTTGGGATTGAGGGAGTTGATATTAAGTTGTGGTTTCTGCTAAAATGTTGCCAAATTGCTGAATTTAAAACATTTTGATTTTAAGTGATGATTCTGTGTAAGACTCATATAACTTTTTAAACTCAAAGTTCTAAACAAAAAGCTATTTGATTCAGTTGCACCGCGCTCAGTATTATGCTTGAGTGCTTGATTATGGTTGGCAGAAGGAGTTTGAACTGTGAAGGGTTCTAGTGACACTCTCACAGTGCGATCAACTTCGATCTTTGTGCTTCACTTTCCATCAATTGCAGCTCAAGAATGTAACTTTCAATTTGCTAAAATACTTGAAAGCATACAAACTTGCAAGTCTGTCCATTGCGTGCCCCGGTTTATGTTAAAGGTCCACCTTAAGAGTTATGCAGAATTTCATTTAGTAAACATGAGATAGTTGAATTACTACTAGGTTCGTGTTGTCCCTTGGGTTTTGAGATAACAGAGTATGATGAAAATAAACCAGCTTTCAAATTTATCTGTCTTTCCCTGTTCTCGTTATATAATTTCACTTGATATCTTCTTAGGAATCTATACTGTCGAAGCTAACCCCCGGAGAGCAGAACTGAGCATAGCATGAGCACACGAGATAGAGGGTCACAGCCAATTAGGCGTACAAGGTCCCGATCTCAAAGGGGTACTGTAGTAAATGTTGATCTAAATGTTGCACCCCCATCTGAGAACAGAGATCAGGAAGGAACTTCTGTGCCTGTTGTGTCCGGGGATGCGACGCATGGACAAAGAGGTGCCTCTTTGACACCTGCAGCAATTGATGTTGAGGCACTTGATGATGATGTGATTATATCATCCCCTAGGGCGTTTGCAGAAGTATGTACTCTCCCTTGCTATTCTATTTGCTTTTCCTTCGTTAAGTTTGTTTAGTGGTGAATTATGGCTGTGATTACGGCTGATGTTTCACATCAAGTCTTAATTATGTGAGAGATCTTCTCATTTTTATTAGGCTAAGAACAACTCCAGAAGGAATCGAGGACGGGTTATTGTGGTTGATGTGGATTCTGGTAATTTATTCTTCTCTTAAGCCTCTTACAGCTAGGTAGTGTGTTGATTTTTAGCTATGGAACCTTTTTATTTGCTGGAGATAGGAATTATCTGACCAGAATAGCTTAGAGGAACCTCTCTCTTTCTTCTTGTAATGATTAAGTGGATATGAGGTTGTATATATAGTATTCTCTTTATGGGTGGAGCAAGTTGATCTTTCATCTTCTTTTTTTTTTTCTTTTCAAATTCAGATATTCTGGACTCTGCAAAAATCTCCTATTTCCTTGAGGATACCAGTTCAATGTACCACTTTTTGTTCTTCTAGGAGTGTCTGTTCTAATTGATTGGAGAAGTTATTTAATGCTTCTTTCTATCCAAGATAAAGGCAAAGCAGGATAATGGTACAGGAAAAATTAGAATTATAATGAACCTTGAAGTGACATAACTTTGCCAGTATCAACAGAATTTTCTTTAGAATGTTTTCTAATCCTTTTGTGGTTGGGGAAAGGAGGACTGTGTAGATAGCAGGGTCTACACAGGGATTAAAACTTAGTTGCATCCTGTGTTTACACCAAATCAAGCAATTTAACATTAGCAGTTAAAAGTTATAGTGAGTAACACATATCACTTAACCATGGTTATATAATAACTGTGTTTATGAGAGGTCTACATAGATAACTTAAGCTGTGGTTTTTAATTCGCTTTGTACCTGATGTATGTTTGGGCAGTTCTTTTCAATTGAAAACTTGGCTTACTTATCTCTTCCATGCCCCTTTGTGATTTGATTTGGTTGGTTCATAGCTATTGCAGAGGGCCTTTCATCTAGGGCCTCAAGTAACAGTCGCAACAGGCGTAGAAGAGTCTCTACAGATCAAGCAACAAACAATGGTGGCATTCACATAGACCTAGAAGGACATAGCTGTCCAAAGGTAATTACATGCAATGTACTACAGCTGAAATTCTTGTTTCTAATGTTATCTGTTATTTCCTTTGCAAAAGATATATTTCAATGGATCCACCGCCTCGTGTTTTGAAACGTTATTCTGATTAATTTCGTTATGCAGTGGAAGTTTGGTTATGACGTTCTGTCTCATATTGTTTGACTTGTATGATCTGCCATTGCGTTGATAGATTAAAGTTCCAATTTTAGGTAAAGGACTTGTTGCTTTTGTGACTGCAGCCTTACTACCTCTAAATGTTCTTTATACGGTATATAAAAGACTTGTTATAAGTCATTGTATCTTTGAGTTCTTTGCTGGCCTTTTGACTAGTTTCTGGCTTTTTGCTGATGTTTCAAGTGTACAATACTTGGCTTGCTTAACTTGTGTCATAATGCAGAAGTCTAAATAGCTTATAGGTACGAAGTGGGTTCAAGCTTGGATTTCTCTATGTCTTTTTCATCTAATTGTCAAAGTCACTTTCAGAGAATTCAGTTTTATCAGTACACATATGACCTGGTTCAGACTGTTACTTAAATCTTTATGCAAAGTAAATATTTTCTTTTTGGTTGTTTCCCATGCCAGAGTGTAAATGTAAAAAGTGCAATACCACCACAACCGAAAGAGCCCGCATTCAGCTGTCCAGTGTGCATGGGTCCATTAGTTGAGGAGATGTCGACTAAATGTGGTCACATTTTCTGCAAGGCATGCATAAAAGCGTCGATAGCTGCTCAGCATAAATGTCCTACATGTAGGAGAAAAATCACTATGAGAGACACCATAAGAGTGTATCTTCCAACCACAAGTTAAGTCAAAGGTTTGTCTACTGCTCCCTGGAAACTTTTTCTTTTTGTTTTTGTTTTTTTTTGTGGGTGGGTGGAGGAAGGGGGGGGGGGGGGGTTTCGCTCTATGACCTTTCTATGCGTTCCAAACATTTTGGCCTGTTTCACAATATTTGCCTAAGCTGGGAGTTAATGTCTGAAATTTGGAAAAGAAGTATCTCGGAATTAATTCCGATCGCCATTAGATAAAAAGTAAATTGGACAGTAAAAATAATTGAAGAAGGTTATGGAATTGGTCTGGAGCATGTAGTATCTGTGTGCAAAACCCGTGGTATCTTCGACATTGCGTGCACAGAAGAAACATTTTGAAGTGGCTATGTGTGTCACTCCGACTTTTTTCCAGTTTAATTATTGGTTTTACCTTTTCTTCCTTGCTTGAAGAGATAATAAAGTTCTTGTTCACTCTAAAAAGATGGTTTTATTAGTTGATCTTTTGCACGATATTTGTTTGTGAACCTCCATTCTTTAGTCTAGCAGTAAAGATGATATTCATTGTTGTTTATAATGAGTTTAGAATTGGGTGATTTGTGTTGCACCAATCTTGATAATAGTTAAGTATAACTGATTATCTCATGGTTTTCAATGGATATTGTCTCAACCAATTAACTATACGTGACTAGGATGTTTGCTGTGTTTATTGGGTTATTCCATAAGAACTTGCTTCTGATCTTTTCCGTTCCTCCTTCAATTTTCAATTATTTACTCTTTAGTTGTCGTTTTTTTTGGTTGTTGTTGTTGGGGTTG